TAACATTTAAATCTAGCATACTAACTACAGTCTATATTGGCTATACAAATCAATTATTTTACAACTAATATATCAGCCATATAAAACCTATAAATTATGAATAATGTTTTGATGGCGAAACAAAAACAACAGAAATTGCGAACTTGGCCTTGAGCTTGTTTTGATTGTTGTTGTTGTTGTTGTTTGTCATTTGTCGTCAAAGTCGCTTGTTACTTTGTTTGTTATTATTATTATTGTTGTTAACATTAAGGTGCTTTTGTTTTTTTGGGTCTCAGCTCTGAGAGTTGGGCCATGGGTTGATTACACATTAAAGCTCGAGCTTTGTTATTGTTTTTGTTATTGTTTTTTGTTTTAACTATTCATTGTTGTCGTCACGCACCTGAGCCACAATCCAAATACATTGTGCACACCAAACGGCTCATCAGCCCAGTGGATATTTCACTCACAGTCAATAACACACACACGCACACAAATAAACACATACAGACACAAGCACACGTCGCACACAGTGGCTCACATCTGTATATGTATTCATGTGGTTTTGTCAAGTTAGCGCAGTGAAATTTCACATTTGTATGCCCGCTAATCGTTACCTGAATCCATCTGCTCCGCAGGCGAATCGAATGTGTATACCTTGGGCAACATTGGAGCACATCGGATAGTTAGCACCAAGCTGCCGTCGGCGGGCAGCACACGGGAGGCGATGACGGCGACAGGCAATACGACAACCAGACTGCTGGGCACATTCCAAAAGGTTGACTATGTCTTCATTGTGGGCGTGGCTGGCGGAGTGCCCCACTATACGGACTACAAGAAGCACGTGCGACTGGGCGACGTCGTCATCTCGTATGTGGACAAGCAGCGTGCGCTACTCAACAGGTGAGTGCCTCCCACACCTAGCACAGGTCAATCGATAATTAACCCCATCTCACAATGGCATTTGCAGCAAGGAGAAACCATATGTGTATGTCTACAAGACCGGCGACGATGCGAAGACATATTTCCCAGTCAACGATTCGCTGCAACAGATCGCCGAGAGTCTGCAGGCCAACATGGAGCTGAAGCGTCCGTGGGAGAGATATTTGCTCGATGCCCAGCAATCGCTCGCCCAGAAGACGGAAAGCGACTTTGGCCGGCCGGACGGCAAGACGGATAAACTGTTTATGAACATTGGCAACAACGAGGTTATCGAGGTGGCCCATCCGATTGCCGCCGATGAGATCAATGGCGTGATACGGCCGCGCCTGCATCTGGGTCCGATCGGCTCTGGCCGGGATCTGGTGCGAAATGATGATTTGCGCACAAAGTTTGCACGTAAATTTGGCCTGCTGGCCACCGATGTCGAGATGAGCAGCGTGCTGGACAGCATCATTGGCAATTGCCGAGAGAGCTTCATACTGATTAAGGGCATATCCGACTACAAGGACGGCATGTCCACGCGCAAATGGCAGAACTATGCCGCACTCTCAGCCGCCGCAGTGGTTAAGTCCGTCATCTGTGGCATGGATGCGCCCACAAATGTCTAAGCGTGTCTTTCCATCGATAACTCAGCGGATTCTTCAGCTAATGATTTTACCATTTCATATACATATACATAAGCATATATGTATGTATGTATATATACATATATGTACGGTTTTTTTTTTATTATCTTGTAATTTTGCTTAGATCCTGCAATGTATTTATCGAAACGTTCTTATTTTGTTCCCTGTGCGTTATTAACCAAAAGCGGATCCCGGATTTATATCTGGCGGCTCCTAAAAGTATACCAAAATGTATGCGTTTATCTAATACCCTATAAACATGCATATGTACAAGTAATATGTATTGAATGATTTCTTGTTATTTATTTGTTATGCTTTTGTACTACATACATATACATATATACACACATATACATATATATCATTTACAATCATACAATATATGTATGATACAGGCACATGACGTATATATCAAAAAATACTGCATTGAATTGCGGCAGTAACTAATAATTTTGTTTCGCTCTGTTCTTGGCTTTTTTTTTTTTTCACAGATAACTTGATCTTCTTCGACGTTTCCATTTTAAATTTGCCGCGCAAATGCATTGGTGTGCATGGGTTGAGGTATTGCCAATTTATCGACTTGGAGTTGCCATACAACTTTTAAAGTATCGCAGCGCATTACGGTCCTTGCAAGTTCAAATTTGCCGCGCAAAGCCCATCACTTATCTTTTGAGCACCATCAACTTATCGACGCAGCGTTGCCACTTCTGCACACAAATGTTATTTAATTCATTTTAATGCAAAAAGTAAATAGCAAAACAAGAAAGTAAATTATTTAATTAGTACATTCTTGCACAAATTCAAATATATATCAACACCATGTGTAAATAGTGTAATTTGGCTACAGCCAGTGTTGAGCTACGAACCAAAGTGTGGGTGCCCGAATTTTGATTTTTTGTTGTTGCTCACAGTTGACAATTTAAATTTCAAATAGGCGCCAATTTATAAATTAAATTATTATCAATTTTTGCCAACAATAGCGGCAATTAGCTCAATTTATGTAAGTATGCGTGTTTAAGTGCCTTAAAAAAGCAGATATCGATAGAAATGCCAACAGCTGATGTTGAAGAAAACTATATGGTGTACTAGGACAAGCTGCTGTTGCTGCTGCTTCAGCGAAGAAGATGGCCTTAAATTACAATTGAGCAACTGTTATGAGCAGAAAATAATAATGAGAATAGGTGGTATATTGCTCGTTCTTTCGGATGTGCGCAGAATGTGCGACCATTAAATTGCCGAGAATTATGCGTAACTATAGTTCTCCGACGACTTGCCGATTGTACTAAAGTAATCAACGCTTGTCGCTGAGTAGCGTTCGTAAATCAGCCAGAATACGTTCAGCACGCCGTCAAGCCGGTTGTCGTGTTCGGGGATTTGTGAAGTGCGTAAAAAAGCAACACGTGCGCTGTCTGTGTTTGCGACAGACAGAACGAATTGCCAGCTGAACGTGCAATCTTAGCAAACTGAAACTTGAGTTAAGTTTAGAGTGAATCAAATAACAACAGGTAAACAAAAGCTGTACATGATAATTGCATTATTAACTGGGCAGCACATTTGTCAATTATGTTATGTTACACTGCTGCGTGCGTGCGCTTGTGTGTGTGTGTGCTTGCGTGTACTCTTATGCGTTTGTGTGTGTGCGTAGCTGATTGTGTGAGAACCGGTCTGCAGATCGAATAAGAATCAATGCATTGCTTTCCAATTGGAAATGGTTAGGAACAACAGTTGCTTGAAAAGAAGATGCGTGCAATCGGAATTGAAATATTCAAATTGAGATCGTATAGTGAGTGCCGAAGACTATTTACTATGTATAGTATATAATGTAGATATGTATATACTGCATAGTTTCTGTTATTTTAAAGTCCGTCTCTCATAGTAATAACCAATTGTTGCTAACTTATCTCGATCGGAAAATACACTATTTCATATCTTTTCCACTATATACATACATATGTGTGTGTGTGTGTTGTGTGTGTGTTGTGCATGTGTTTTGTATTCCTGCACGGCAAATGCATTTATGATAAGCGCGCCATGTGGTTAAAAACAAAGAGAGCGAGAGGAACCATTCCAACTGTAAAGTGTAGGGCATAGGGTATAGGGAATAACACTTTGCAGTGACAATATGCCAAATGTGATAACATCAAACAATCAATCATGAATGCTCTCAAATTAATATTAATTGTAATTGGAATAGTACTATAGGCAAGATCTAGCTGTTAAATATATTTAACGGTCATATTCAAAAATAAAAGTCAAAGCACACGACCTTTAGTTTTCCATCTGACTGAACTATAATATCACAGCATATTTCAGCCGGCAACTCGAAGCAAAATTCGGGTATTTATAAAATCTAAATTAAATAGAATAAAACAAAAAAAAAAAGTAAAAAATAAGTTATTATAAATTAACTTAACAAAAAGCAATCCCATTGCTTATTGAGACTTCGACTTGATGCCTTCGTTTCAGTTTCAATTGCATCTTAGATAAACATTTAATTTTTGAATATTTTGAATAAAGGCTAGCCGCGTCAGCTCAATTTTTGCTTGGGCACTAACAGATATTATATTTCACTGCATGATAAGAAGAGTTTCCCACTGACTCAAGATAGCGAGATAGAAGCATAAATAAATAAATTTATTAATGGCGAAATGTGAATCCTACTGGGACAGAGAAATGAATGGAAAGAGAGAGAGAGAAAGAGAGAGGAGGGGGGCTAGACAGACACAGGCAAAAAAAGTGAACGAGAGGAAAATATAAAGACAGACAAAGAGAGAGGAAGATAGAGACAACAAAGAGAGAGAGAGAAAGAGAGAGGTAGAGTGAGAGAGGTAGAGAGAGAGAGAGGTAGAGAAAAAGTGAGAGAGAGAGGTAAAGACAGAGAGAGAGGTAGAGACAGAGAGAGAGGTAGAGAGAGAGAGAGAGAGAGAGGTAGAGTGAGAGAGAGAGAGAGAGAGGACACGTAGAGAAAGGTAGAGAGAGAGAGAGAGAGAAAGCAAGAGATAAACGTAATCTGAATATTAATAATAATTTCTGGTATTCGATTTCACTCAGCTGCAAAATGTCCCCACCGGATTGTTATCTCGAGCTGGAGGATGGAACCGTGATGCCGGGGTGCGCATTTGGGGCCAAGGGCACAGCCACAAGCGGCGAGGTGGTCTTCCAAACGGGCATGGTGGGCTACACGGAGGCCCTGACGGATCGCTCGTATAGTGCACAGATTCTGGTGTTGACCTATCCGCTGATTGGCAACTACGGTGTGCCGGATGCCGGGCAGCTGGACGAGTTTGGACTGCCGGAGCACTTTGAGTGGCTCCAGGGCGCCGTGCAAGTGGCTGGCCTGGTGGTGGGCGAGATCTGTGAAACGCCCTCGCATTGGCGCTCCAAGCGCACGCTCTCCCAGTGGCTGGCGGATCATCGGGTGCCCGGCATCAGCGGCATCGATACCCGTTGCCTGACCAAGAAACTGCGCGAGCAGGGCAGCATGCTGGGACGTATTGTCTACAAGGAGCCGGCCAAGCAGGCGAAAGTCCCGTTCGAGGACCCCAACGAGCGCAACTTGGCAAAGGAGTGCTCCGTTAAGCAGATCCAACTGTATAAATCGCCGCAGGGCTCAAGTGGGCCAAGGATCGCCATCATGGACTGCGGCCTGAAGCTGAACCAGATACGCTGCCTGCTGCAGCGCGGCGCCTCTGTGCAGCTGTTGCCGTGGAGCGCGCAGCTGAAGGAGGAGGAGTACGACGCCCTCTTCCTCTCCAATGGACCCGGCGATCCGGCCAGCTGCAGGCAGATTGTCGAGCAGGTGCAGCGCGTTCTGCAGGCTGGCACAAAGCCCATCTTCGGCATCTGCCTGGGCCATCAGCTGCTGGCCTCGGCCATCGGCTGCACCACCTACAAGATGAAGTACGGCAACCGTGGCCACAATCTGCCCTGTCTGCATCGGGCCAGCGGTCGCTGTCTGCTCACGTCCCAGAATCACGGCTATGCCGTCGACCTGGCCAAGCTGCCCGGCGACTGGGAGGAGCTGTTCGTCAATGCCAACGACGGCACCAACGAGGGCATAGTGCATCGCAGCAAGCCCTACTTCTCGGTACAGTTCCACCCGGAGCACCACGGCGGTCCGCAGGACACCGAGTTCCTGTTCGACGTCTTCCTCGATGCCATACGAGAGCCGCAGAAGAGCGTGCCCGAGCTGATCGCATCCAGACTGAGCGTGATACGACCCGAGCCGCAGCCCCGTCCGCGCAAGGTGCTCATCCTGGGCTCCGGCGGACTGTCCATTGGCCAGGCCGGTGAATTCGACTACTCCGGCTCGCAGGCCATCAAGGCGATGCGCGAATCCAACATCCAGACGGTGCTCATCAACCCGAACATTGCCACAGTGCAGACCTCCAAGGGCATGGCGGACAAGTGCTACTTCCTGCCCCTGACGCCCGACTATGTGGAGCAGGTGATCAAATCGGAGCGGCCCAACGGCGTCCTGCTCACCTTCGGCGGCCAGACGGCCCTCAATTGCGGCGTCGAGCTGGAGCGTGCGGGCGTCTTTGCCAAATACAATGTTCGCATTCTGGGCACGCCCATACAGTCAATCATTGAGACGGAGGACCGCAAGCTGTTCGCCCAGCGGGTCAATGAGATTGGGGAGCGTGTGGCGCCCTCCGAGGCGGTCTATACCGTGGCCGAGGCCCTCGAGGCAGCCGGCCGCCTGGGCTATCCGGTGATGGCACGCGCTGCCTTCTCATTGGGCGGCCTGGGCTCCGGCTTTGCCAACAACGAGAACGAACTGAGGACACTGGCCCAGCAGGCCCTGGCCCACTCCACTCAGCTGATCGTGGACAAGTCGCTCAAGGGCTGGAAGGAGGTGGAGTACGAGGTGGTCCGCGATGCCTACGACAATTGCATCACCGTCTGCAACATGGAGAACTTTGATCCACTGGGCATACACACCGGCGAGAGCATTGTGGTGGCTCCCTCGCAGACCCTGTCCGACCGCGAGTACCAGATGCTGCGCAGCACCGCCCTGAAGGTCATCCGGCACTTTGGGGTCGTCGGCGAGTGCAACATTCAGTACGCTCTCTGCCCCCACTCGGAGCAGTACTACATCATCGAGGTAAACGCTCGACTGTCGAGGAGCTCGGCGCTCGCCAGCAAGGCGACGGGCTACCCCCTGGCCTATGTCGCCGCCAAGCTGTCGCTGGGCGAGCCGCTGCCCGAGATTCGCAACTCGGTGACGGGCAATACGACGGCCTGCTTTGAGCCGAGTCTCGACTATTGTGTGGTGAAGATACCGCGCTGGGATCTGGCCAAGTTCATGCGCGTGAGCAAGCACATCGGCAGCTCGATGAAGAGCGTCGGCGAGGTGATGGCCATTGGGCGCAGTTTCGAGGAGGCCATCCAGAAGGCGCTGCGCATGGTCGACGGCGATGTTCAGGGCTTCGATCCCTATCTGGCGGCCGTCGACAAGGACCAACTGTCGGAGCCAACGGATCGTCGGCCCTTTGTCCTGGCCGCCGCTCTGCGTGCCGGCATGTCCATCGAGGAGCTGCACGATCTGACGAAAATCGATCGTTGGTTCCTCCACAAGCTGCAAAACATCATCAAGTTCTACGGCCAGCTGGAGTCCGCCGGCAGCCAGCTGACGCCGTCCCTGCTGCTGAGTGCGAAGCGCCTGGGCTTCGCCGACAAGCAAATAGCCATGGCCACCAAGAGTACCGAGCTGGCCGTGCGCCAGCAGCGGCACGAGCACAACATCCGACCCTTTGTCAAGCAGATCGATACGGTGGCTGGCGAGTGGCCGGCGAGCACGAATTATCTCTACAACACGTACAATGCATCGGAGCACGACGTTCTCTTTCCCGGCGGGCACACCATCGTCGTCGGATCGGGCGTCTATCGCATCGGCTCCTCGGTGGAGTTCGACTGGTGTGCCGTGGGCTGTCTGCGGGAGCTGCGCAACCTGAAGAAGTCGACGATCATGATCAACTATAATCCGGAAACGGTGTCCACCGACTATGACATGTGCGATCGTCTGTACTTTGAGGAGATCAGCTTTGAGGTCGTCATGGATATCTATGAAATGGAGCGCTCGGATGGCATCATCCTCTCCATGGGCGGCCAGCTGCCCAACAATATTGCCATGGACTTGCATCGGCAGCAGGCCAAGGTCCTGGGCACGTCGCCGGAGTCGATCGACTGTGCCGAGAATCGCTTCAAGTTCTCGCGCATGCTGGATCGCAAGGGCATCCTGCAGCCACTGTGGAAGGAGCTGACCAATCTCCAGTCGGCCGTCGAGTTCTGCCAGGAGGTGGGCTACCCCTGCCTGGTGCGTCCGTCGTATGTGCTCTCCGGCGCTGCTATGAATGTGGCGTATTCGGATCAGGATTTGGATACGTATCTGAATGCAGCCTCCGAGGTCAGTCGCGAGCATCCGGTGGTCATCTCCAAGTTCATCACCGAAGCCAAGGAAATCGATGTGGACGCCGTTGCGGCCGATGGCCAAATCCTGTGCATGGCCGTCTCGGAGCATGTGGAGAACGCTGGCGTTCATTCGGGCGATGCGACGCTGGTCACACCGCCGCAAGATCTGAACGCAGAGACCCTGGAGGCCATCAAACGCATCACGCGCGATCTGGCCAGCGTGCTGGACGTGACGGGACCCTTCAACATGCAGCTAATCGCCAAGAACAATGAGCTCAAGGTCATCGAGTGCAATGTCCGAGTCTCACGCTCCTTCCCCTTCGTCTCCAAGACGCTCGATCATGACTTTGTGGCAACGGCCACGCGCGCCATTGTCGGCATGGAGGTGGAGCCCATCGATGTGCTCCACGGCGTGGGCAAGGTGGGCGTCAAGGTGCCCCAGTTCAGCTTCTCGCGTCTCGCTGGCGCCGACGTCCAGCTGGGCGTCGAAATGGCCTCAACGGGCGAGGTGGCCTGCTTTGGGGACAACCGCTACGAGGCCTATCTGAAGGCCATGATGTCCACGGGCTTCCAGATACCCAAGAATGCGATTCTGCTCTCCATTGGCAGCTTCAAGGTGCGTCGAATGAATATATGTATATAGGCCTTATATATATGTATTATATATTTTAAATATTCCTGTTCTCACAGCACAAAATGGAGCTGCTTTCCTCCATTCGGGAACTGGCCAAGATGGGCTACAAGCTGTACGCCTCGATGGGCACCGGCGACTTCTATGCGGAGCATGGCGTTGATGTGAGTATGGCTGAAATGAATTTATATCTTAACGGCTTTATATATCAGTTGCTGTAGCTTGAGTTGATCTAGACTTTCAGTTGACTCGAATTACCCTATAATCTCAGTTCACCACTAACAAAATTCAGGACTTTTTACCATAGACTAGAAACTAATTTCGCATATATCGCTTTAACAACTTCCATTGCCATTTTGTTATAAAGTCTTAGTCACACACCTAAGAGTTTTCTAGGTGTCTGCTTAAATGGCGAAAAAAAGCTTCTGTAAATCGACAAAGTACTCAAACTGCATTGAGTGAAATTAATTGCGCAGCTAAATAAGTTGGAGTGAACAAGAAAGACTAAGCTTGCATCCAGCGAGAGCGTGTGAGCGAGAGAGGACATTAAAGCTCATACGTTACGCAGAGAACAGTTACGTTGGTCTTAATGTAAACTAACAGCTCTTTTCGGCGTTCTCATACAAAGATCAACGTGCGTAATTTGAGCTTAACAGATCCGTATTATGTTATAAAACCTATCACTGTTAACTTAACATACCCTTTTGCTAATGAAATTGCGGCCTCTTCGTCCATTTCTTATGACTCTCTGAGTACTTTGATAGATCAGTGCTCAGTTAACATACCACTGTTAACTTAACAGACACCATTTCGCATTCATTATTTGCCTACTGTTAGTGAAGAAAGAATGAGAGGCGGGTACTCCCTCTTATTATTTACACGTATTTCAATGTAAGAAAACAAAAACTGATTTCCTTTTTATGTACAGACCTTAAGGCATAGATAATATAATACAGAGTTAGTTAAACAGGAGATATGCCGTGGGCCTTTATCGGGGCAGAAGCTAATCGGCCATGCCTGAAGGCCATTGTTGACTGATTGTCTGAGCGGATTTATGGCTATTTGCTAATTGAAGGCGCTCTTCACCTTTTGTGTGTTGCGTTTGAGCAGATCGCGGAACTCGTCGCGCTTCGATTCCGGCGCCAGTGTTTGCATTAGCTGCTCCGTCTTGGAGCTTAGCGTCTGCAGTGCGCCGGCATCCAGTTGGAGTCGCTGGAACAGCGAACCGAGCAGCACGTTGTTCTCCTTGGCTGATTCTGGCTGTGGCTGTTGCTGTGGCGGGGCTTCTTCAACTGTCTCTGCCTCCACAATAATGTCGTCCTCCTGCTCAGCTGGGGGCGGGGGTTGAGGCGCACGTCGTGCGGCTGGCGGCGTGGGCGGCTGCAGTGGCGTCAACTCGCCCGTGTGCATCTGCACCACATGCTCCACGAACTTGAGCGACTTGCGGCGCATGGGGCTGGAGTTGCCACTGACTCGGGGAGTGCTCTGATTGCTATGCACCATGGCCCGCTCCATGTTGCTGGCCGCCTGGCACAGTGCGTCCGTGTAGTGGTGGGCGTATTGGGAGCAGCCCAGCTGCTGGTAGAGCCGGCACAGGCGCTGCGCCTGCTCCAGGTAGAGCTGGGCATGCTGTGCATTCCGGAACTCCGTTGCCTTGGCCAGCATGGCCAGCATATGGTCGAGCAGCAGCTCCAGCAGATTGGTGCAGCGCAAGATTTCGATGCCATCATTCAGCTGCGGCGCTGTGGTCCCTGGGCCGGCTGTCGATGCACTGCTGGATGTGTGCGATGCCTGCGATGCTCGCGGCAGGAGCAGCGGCAGATCCAGCGTGATGGACTCAACGGAGCTGCGTCGCTGCTCCGCGGCCATCTTCAGCTGCTGGGCGCGCAGCATTTGGGTCTTGCGGCGCAGCTTGCCGCGCGTTCGCTCCTGATGCTGATGCAGTCCGAGCAAGCCCTGGGCGTCATGCAGCTCCTGCTCCTGATGCTGTTGCTGCTCTTGCTCCATTGGCTGCTCAACGATGGGTAGGGGATTCCTCGAGAACTTCGCCCAGCTGCGCAGCTGCACATAGTCGTGCGTCACTAGATTCTCGAGCAGGCGCTCATAGTTGAGCTTAGGATAAAAATTGTCGGCGTGCTGGAGATTGCGCAACGCCTGGAGCACATGCATCAGCGGCTGCTCGGCAATGCCCGCCATGATGGTGCGCAGCTCCATCAGCGCATCCTCGGGCACGTGCTCGAACAGGTTGCGTCGCTGGATGAAATAGTCGCTCAGCTGCTTCTTGGCCAGGCAGTCGGCGAAGGTGCGCACGAAGCGCACCAGCTTCTCGCCGAGAAACTCCTCGGGCCACTCGTTGCTGTGGCGCTCGCACTGCCAAAAGAGATGCGTGCGCAGCTGCTCCACGATGTGGCCCATCGCCTGGCACTTCTCGTTGACGAAGGTGCGCACCAGCACCTTCATGAGAAGCAGCACCTTCAGCTGCATGCGCGTCAGCTGCCGCTCCAGGAACTGCTCCGCCTGGGGGAAGACAATGCGCCATTCCAGCTCGCGGAAGGGATTGCGCGCCCGCTTCGGCGTATAGCCCACGGGCACCACATGGAAGCCAAAGGACTGGATGCGCTTGCGCATCACCGCCGTTGGCCACTGGAAGCGATCGCCCGTATGCAGATTGGTCAGCTGGGGGCGGGCGCGCAGGTTGAACTCGAAGGCGCAGTCCGGCCAGCTGTGGGGCACGTGAATAGCTGGGACCAGCTCCTCGGTGGCGGTGTAGATGCTGCAGCCCCGGTAGCTGCTCGCCGACAGCTGCGCCTGGCTGATGCCCAGCTCCTGCGCCAGCTGCTGGCGCAACAGTTCGCCAAAATAGTTCATGAACTGCTGGGAGCTCAGATAGCATTGCTGGAGAAGATCGCGGCGTCGCTGCTGCTCCATTTTGCACTGGCGGAGCACTTGCACCGTCTCGTAGCCGGAGCGGCAGCTCTGCTCTGGAGTGTGCTCCTCGTCGCTGGCACTTCCATTGCTCTCCTCGTCGTCCTCGTCGTCGTCGTCGACCTCATCGTCGCTCTGCTCCAGCCACGCTGGCAGGCAGCTGGCGAGCCGTCGTATGCAGGACTCTGGCAGCACATTGCGCTGCAGTGGCTCACGCATCAGCTTCAGCTCATCCATGGAACGCTGCGTATTCAGGCGCGCTATATACACATGGTCGTAGTCGCCCTCGCACCAGCTGCCGCGGCCCGCGCTTGAGCCCGCCCTGGAGCCCATCCTAGATCCCATCCTCGAGCCCGATCCGGTGCCCGCTCCGGCGGCCGTGCTGTAGCCGGAGCTGCCATCTGTGTAAACAGCCTCGATGTCGATGTCGCCCTCATCGCTGCTAGGACTGCTCGGGCTGCTGCTCAAACGGCGCTGCATTGGCATCGGCTCCCGCAGCTTCAGCCGCACATAGCCCAGCCAACGGCTCTGCTCCAGCTGCTGCACGTACTGCGACCGGCAGGGCGTTGTGTTGTAGTAGTCCGTCTCCAGCAGCACTTTGCACAGCGCAGCTATCGAGTCGTAGTTGGCATCATTCGGTCGGGCAATGTCCACATTCTCGAACACCACATAGGTCAGGGTCCTTTGCAACGGCTGCGCCTTGACATGGGACTTGCCGCTACCAGCCTGCTGCCTGTATGGGCCATCTCTGTGTAGAAGAAAGGAGAGTCACTTGGGCTAGGCTGGTGGGATGGGGTTGAAATTGAAAGAAATTTACGGATGATGGGGTAGAGGTCGACAGAAGTGGACAGAAAGACCAAAGAGAAGTAAGGGAAACGAGAGATTGGACAATGGAATAAGGAAGATAACAAGAGAGGTGGAGTGAGAGTCGAAGAGAAAATGTGAGTCAGAGAGAGATATCTACAGAGATAGATCTACAGAGGTAGGTATAAAGTCCAAAAAAAGTTAGGGTAGAGAGAGACAGTTCAAAGAATGAATGATGACAAAGAGAGACAGAGAGAGGAAGAGAGAGAAAACGTAGAAGGGAAATCAGAGGCAGAGATAAGAAGAGGTTGAGAAAGGAAAGGAAGAACAGAGAAAGAAAGCGACGATACAAAAGAAGCAATACGAAAGAAGAGAGAAAGCCTAAGCGGAAGTGGGATAGAAGAGAAAAACTGAAATACATGTACGAATATGTGGACAGAGGAAAGAAGAGCCAGTAGAAGGAAGAGACCGAAGGTATGGAAAAACCAAAACAAGGAGCAAGGAAGAGAAAGAAATAGACAGTTGGGATAGACTGATGGATAGATTGAACAAGAAAGCAACAGAGGAAACAGGCACAGACCGAGAGAGAAAGAGAAGAGAAGAGGAACAACAAAGTAAGAGAGAGAATATTCTAGAAGGAAACTTCGTGGTCAAAGCAGATCTTAGAGCTGACTCTGACTATTCTCAGTTGAGCTCGATGAAGGATATAAATGAGTGAATGGAATACCTCTAGGCAATCCACGAGAATCTAGAGCTTCCGCTGAGTATTCCTTAACTTACATGGGCTTGAAGAGCAGCCGCTTGGCCACGGCCGCATCGATGGCGCTGGCGTGCAGCAGACTGTGCTCGGTGAGGGTCTGGGCGCAGGCGCGCTGCTTGGCTAGGAGCTGCTCATCGATGGCGGCCAGCTCGTGCTCGAAGTGGCCAAAGAACTGGATGCAGAGCAGCAGCTGGTTCAGCACAAAGGTGTGCAGCTGCCGCTCCAGCTGATACTGCGTCTTCTGCTCGATGATGCGCTGGTGCTCCTCGCGCTGCTGCTCCAGCGTGCGGGCATAGAGGGCGCTGACGCACTCCGTGGCGCTGCTGCCGTTGCTGCCCCCAAGCAGACGCAGCTGCGGCGCCAAATTGTGGCTGCCCCGCATGCTGCCGCCGCTGTTGCTGTTGGTGTTGCTGCCACGCAGACTCCGCCGCAAACTGTTGCCATTTGCCGTACCCGTTGCCGTTGACTTAGCCTTCGCCTTTGCCTTGGACTGATGGCGACGCTTGCGCGCATTGCGCTTCTGCAGCTTGGCCAGCTGCTTCTGACGCTTCTCCTCCTGGCGGCGGCGCTGCTGCAGTCGCGGCGGCGCCTCGGCCGCCTGCAGCTGCTGCAGCGGATTGGGCAGCGTTTCGCTGTCCCGCGTCTTGGACCAGTTGCAGCCCATGAATCGTGTCTAATCGAGGAGAGAGTTCTTCAAGCAGCGCTTCGATTGCAACTGTCACTTCTTCCTAGCTGATATCGATCTAAACTGATCAAATTCCATTTTCCTGCCAATGCCAGTGTCGTCGTTGTCGTTGTAGTTGTCGTTGTCGTTGATGGTTGCCCAGATAAGATCGTCAGCGACGCATCAAATCCAATAACAACAATCAAACGAATTGCAATCGGGTTTCCTCGATCCCTCAATACTCGTTCAGCAGTCTTCTCAAGACTCTGCTCTCTATTATTTCCACTCCTCTTTCTTATTGCATTCCTCGTTGTCCTCTTGTCCGCTAGTTCTTATTCCTTGTCCCTTCCATATTCTCTCGTTGATTTACTTCATCTAACTTCAGATTTCCCACGTGAAAAGTAAACAGTTGTCCATTCATCTTTGTATTCTATTTTATAACTTATCTCTTTTCGCATCTTACATCTCTTATCTTATTTCATCTCTCTCTCTCTCTCTCTCTCTCTCTCTCTCTCTCTCTCGTGTCAGTGCATTACGCTTTTTTATCGCTTACCTCTTTTCGCTTACATGCAAATCCTGTCTATCCTCTCTTTTCTCGCCTCTCCCTTCTCTCTCCTCACCTCTGTCATTTTTC